TAAAATCAACACGTAGACACTGACCAAGATACTACTTGAAAAGAACTGGATAAAAACTGTCAAATGACCACACAGAGAGTGAATCCTTCTCCACCAGGAAGAAAACACTGAGGAAAAGAAAATGCAGTGCAAGCAATCATGGTGAACAGCTCAACACAGAATAACCCGAGCTCCTGAGGTCCAGGCACTGCGGGAGTGGCAGAGGGAAGAGGTAACGGGTAAATGCACTCCCAAGATGCCGAGCCCCTCCTCCTGCCAGACTTCAGTGCCATCTTAACTTCCCAGTTGGAATGTACTCCACACACGTGGCCTCTAGATTGCCCACACCAGTCTCCTCATCCTTCAGCAAGCCAGCACTTTTCCGTTGGTGTGAGTCACATACCTTGGGCTTAAATGACTTATAACACAGCGTCCTCTTACCCATTCCATCTCAGAGACCACCACCTCTGAATCATGGGAGCTCCATCCCCTCCAACATGGGCCACTTGAATTCTATTCCTTAGCTACACTTAGCCTCACTCTACCTCCCAAATTAAAATACCACTGTTCTCTTAGCTCTCGTAGCCCCACTTGACCCCTTTGCCTTCAGCCTGCTACCTGACTAGCCCTATTCGTGCTATCCCAAGCACCCATCTGGGTGGAGCCATTCACACCCAGGCACTGAATCCAACTGCTCAGCTGGTCTCTGTCTTGCACATTCTTAAACTCTCCCAGGGTAGACTTTAGAACAGTAGGTCTTTAACCCCTTCCCGTCTTTCAAGTAAAATCTTGTACTATTTTTATAATTCCTTAATAATTAGCATGTGGTAGTTAGATTTTAGGTCATTTTGGATTTATAGGAAATTATAGGGGTGGAGTTTTTATCTTGTTTTAGCCTGTTAGATGTAAACATGATTTTAAAAGAGTCATTTTCTTGGGGGATGGTATAGCTCTTATCACCATCCATCCATCCATCCATCCATCCATCCATCCATCCATCCATCCATCCATTGTGTCAAGCACATTTGTACATTTGTTGCTGTCATCATTTGTGAACATGATTTTATAATTATCTTTGTTTGGTGATTATGTATGGTTGCAGAATTGTAAAAAGGTCTCACGTTGACAAGGTGTAATCTGTGGTAGTTGGATTTTATGTCAACTTGAATTTGTATTAAAGTGTATGGCTGGAATCTAAGCCATCAATCAGGCCACAGCCTGATGCTACCTCCTGAGAGATGTGGTCTTTTAAAAGAGACTAGGGACTCTTCCCTTCTCCCCCTGCCCCTTTCACCTCCCTGCTAGCTGTGACTCTGAGCTTGCCTCCAGGGGTGCCCCATGTGGGCCACCTGACCCTCAGAACTACTGACACCCTCCTGTGTTTCCAATGACCTTGGAGCCTCATAACTCAGCATCTACCAACCTGTGATCTTCCTGCATCACATTTCACCTTTCTGGTCATAGGCCTGCAGCTATGTGAGTCTGAAGAGGGTTCAGGCTAGTATTGGATTTAAGTTGGACTGGGCTGGGAAATCTTGATGTATGATTATTTCTTTATATAAGGGTCTTTCTAATATATACATATCACTGGTTTTGTTCTCTAGACAACCTTGCCTATATTAACTTTTCAATACTTCAAAAGAAAAAATTTTCCCATCTACCATTTCTACAGTCTTTAATTCATCAAGACCTTTATCTCCCAGCCAGCACCTCATTTAGAATACCCTAGGCCACTAAGAGCAACACCTTGCCATCACAATTAAAGGTGTCCAAATCTGTTACCTCCTAATGGGATCCTTCTCAGTGACCATTGCCCCTTGACAGATGTGAGCCTTACCCCTTCCACGTCCACTCCTCC